CAAGTGTTTCCCAACTAAGCATGCTGAGCAATGCCACTGTAACACACAGATATATTATCTCCCCCTAAGTGACTCCTGGTAACTGCTACTGGTGTCTGTAACTTTTTTAAGGATTTAAAGTGTGTGACATTCAGTGCTGTTTATTTTAGGCAATAGAATTAAGCTAACAACCCACCAAATCATGAGCTCAGGATTGCAGGCAACATGTTTACAGTGGCAAATAACTTCTGACATCCTTTCTCCTCTCTGACTTACACATTTGATAAAACATTACTCCTTTTCGTTGTATCATATGCTCAGGTTTCAACTTCTGTCCATATTTAGAATGTATTAAAAAACCTAGCTGTTGTGATGAACACATGAGATTCGTAACTCTACCTAAAATGCACAACTACATATTATTATTCATGGTGTGTATATCTGTCATATAATTTCAAAATTGTCTCCTACAAAGTCATCCTTTAACATAATACAGTACATTTTGCAGAGAAAAGCACATGGTTATTTATAGACTCTCACTTTCTCATGTTTATTATAAGTAAAATTTTGAGGGAAGAGATTTTATATAGTCATGACCTAACTATCTTTCAGAATTTCCAATTATAGAAGAAAGGTATCTTAGCTGTTAAAATTTTAGTTTTTCAAAAAATGGAAGGTCAAGAGTCCATTTGTCTATTGTTCACATCAGTACTACCTTTAAAGATATTTTAATTAGGTTTAAAAAATCACAGCAAGAAATATGTCATTCAGTGTAACTTTATTTACTATTTATTGCACATAACTCAAGGTCTTGAATTTCTAACCACCAAAGGTTCAAAATACTATTTTTCCATGAAGTTTAACATTAACACTAGTAAATTCATTTATTTGTGTGTGGTTTTTTTAATTGTAAACATCTGAATGATTCACATTGCCATAGATCCTGAACTCATAAGCGTGGACCATGCACAGGCTGGCGGCAAGCCAGAAAGCCACTCTGCAAGCAAACGGATACTCTGCGTAAGGAGAAAAGTCATAGCACAACATTGAATGTCCAACCTAGGTCATCTCAGAATTATACATAGATTGACGTCTTAATTCATATAGGATCTGGAACTCAACTGGTTGGTGGGTGATGAGGTTGACCGGATTTCGGGGGGATCTTTTCCTGGAATAGGTAAGGAAAAGGGGCTCAATCCTTCTTCTTAGTTGCTTGTTCCTCACTAGCACCTTCCTCTTTCTTCTCCTCCTCTTCAGCTTCTTTGGTTTCCTCTGCTTCTTCACCTTCACCGCCTCCTTCTTCTTCCTCCTTTGCCTCTTCAGATTCTTCCTTGGCAGCTTAAACACAGAAAGAAAATTTACAAGATCCAAATCCAGCTTAAATCCACTCAAAAGATCTCGGGCAAGGTCTTGTGAATTACGAAGCGTTACTATCAGAATGCTTACCAAATCTTTTCCACTCCACTCTCCCCCCAGAAATGCATAACATACAATGCTTTCCATGAATACCTTGCCAGGGAACACATATTTAAATAAAATGAGATTTCTTCCTCTCTAAAACCTAATCTTAGTTCTATGATGTTTTTGGCATTCATGTTTGTTCTTTAGGACACCAAACTGCTGGGTCAAGTGAATATACTGATAATCAAATTTTGCAATTATTAGGCATCAATTCAAATAAAATAAACTAAAAGAAAGAAATGTCTGACCAATGGCTTCACTTCTAACAAATAAGTGTCTAATAGATATGTGGAATAAACACAAAGCTGTCACTTAAGGTTCTGAAATCGTGCACAAACAGAGCTTCTCTAAGTGAGCAGGCCTTCGTGTAGCTCATCCTCCTCCTAACAAATCTCCACACCCACTTTGTTCTCACAGGGATCTGTTCTCATCATACCTTCCTCTTCTTCTGCTGCCTCCTCTTCTTCACCCTCCTCCTTCTCCTTCTCTTCCTCTTCAGCTTCTCCCTCCGAGGGGGGCTCGTCTTTGGCTTCCTCAGCTTTGGCAGCCTCAATGGTCTCCTCGACCTCGATCTGCTCCTCCTGGACTTGGCTGGTATAGTAGGAGGGGAAGGAGCGGGTGGACATCAGGTAGGAGCTGGACTGCAAACCGCTATAGGCAGACCTGCCAAAGACCTGGGAGCTCTGGGAGTAGCCGCTGGTGATGCTGCCCACGCTGGTGAAACTGAGCCGGGTCTCCTCGCCTTCCAAGAGTTTCCTGGGGAGCAGATAAAAAGTGGTCAAAATAAAAACCAATATGGGAAATGTGCTCAGGGACTTTGTCTAAGCCCACCACTCACCACTGCCTCCCAATGACACCTTTAGAACAAAATGTCAAGAGAAGCAGGACAAGGCAGTGACAAAATTTAGTGACTGGGACCAAACAAAGCAATCACTAAATAGCCTTATTAAATTTAAAATATAACCAGGAAGCTAAGACTAGTACTCATTACTACCTCTTATATATTTGCCTAGATACTTTCTTCTTGGAAGAAGCCATAAAATCATTACTTTATAATTGTCAAAAAAAAAAAAAGAAAAGAAAAAAGAAAAAAAACCAGTCTTGAAGGTTCTGATTCAATCTAACTTGGAATGGAATCTGACTTTCTTCCTTAGGCTTTATGGCTACCACCTTCACCCCTCTGGTTTCACCTGTAGGCTGCAATCTCGATATCCAAAGCCATCTTCACATTCAGGAGGTCCTGGTATTCTTTTAGATATCGGGCCATTTCACTCTTTGTGGTTCTCAATTCGTTTTCTAATTTGTTGATTGTGTCCTGTTGGAAGATTAAAAAAGATGCCCAGCATAAATTCCTTACTGTTTTCATTATACTGTAATATAGTTGCAAAGCTTAATGTCAACTAAAACCAAAGTGCACGCCTTCCATAAATCTCCCGTAAAACTGCCTGTTCTCTTTTAAAAAAAAAAAAAAATTCTGGCCTAAAAATATCCAGCTCATATGAAATATGAAAAGAAAAAAATTAAACGATAGAGAAATTTCTTTTTAAAAATTGCTTTAGTTAATAAAGTCTAATGATCATCATAAAATGTCTAAAAAAGGAAAAAATGCAAAATGATAGAAAAACTGTTTCTCCCTAACTTGTTTCTAGCAAGGTCACGTTCGAGAAAATTAATTCACTTCTTTATAGAAGAAACTAGCTAGATTGTTAAAAATGGTTTTCTTTAAAATAATTTCTGTGCATCTATATTTCCGCTCTCCCGAAGACAGAGAACCTTAAAAGAGACTGTTTACTTGTGAGTATCCCCTCTCCTAAAGCACTGGGATTGATTCCTGGGTATCTGCAGAGTGGCTGAAGTGGTTAAGAACACTAGTCCTAAAGCACGCTGGTTAAGAAGCCAGGAGCTCCATCGGCCATATTTATCAACCAGAGTTCCAATAGGTGCCAAGTAACTTGTGGTGCGTGCGGGTCGCTGAGAGGGGAAATCGCCACAGGCCTAAGGCAACGCCCAACTGGCACGCCTTCCCCTCCCCCGCCCAACCTCTAGCAGGGCTGGGTTGTTCTGCAGAACACAGGCTCTGCACCAGGCGCAGCCCTACTTTGCAGTCACGCCCCGCCCCAAGTGCCCCACCCCTATCACCCAATCCCCGAGGAGCCCACTCCTTCCCCTGTAGCTGCCTGCAGATGGCAGACGCCCTTGGTGTCTGCAGTACTTGCAGGGCACACCCTCAACCCCCACCTCTGCAGGCTGCCCCACCCCTACCGGGTTCTGGACGCTGCGCTACCTGCATGGCACTGATGTCCGCGTTCTGCTTGTCCTCTAACTCCTGCAGCTGCTTTTCTAGCGCTTCGTTCATGCCCCGGCACGCTTCAATCTCCAAGGTCTTGGCCTTGAGCAGGCGGCGGCTCTCGGACACCTCGTCCTTGGCCGCGCGCACGGCGTCGGTGTTCTTGGCGGCGCTCTCGGTCAGCACGGTGAATCGGCTCTTGAACCACTCCTCGGCGTTCTGCATGTTCTTGGCGGCCAGCTTCTCGTACTGCGCGCGGATATCCTTGAGCGCGGCGGAGAGGTCGGGCTTGGAGGACACGTCCATCTCCACGGAGATCTGTGCATACTGAATCTGCGCCTGCAGCTCGGCGATCTCCTCCTCGTGCACTTTCTTCAGAAAGGCGATTTCGTCCATCAGGCTGTCGATGCGCTTCTCGAGCTCGGCGCGAGCGAGCGCAGCCTCGTCGGCTCCTTTGCGTGCTTCCATCAGCCTTCCCTCGGCGTCCTCGCGGCTCAGCACCTCCTCTTCATAGCGCGCCTGCAGGTTGCGCAGAGTCTCCTCCAGCCCTTCGCGCTCGCCCTGGAGCGCCTGCTTCTCGTTGGTGGCGTCTTCCGCCGCCAGGCGCAGGTCGCGGATCTCCTGCTCGTACAGCGCCCGGAAGCGGGACGGCTCGGAGTGCTTCTGGCGCAGCACCAGCAGCTCGGCTTCCAGGACCTTGTTCTGCTGCTCCAGCTCGTGCACGCGCTCGATGAAGCTGGCGAAGCGGTCGTTGAGGTCCTGGAGCTGGGCCTTCTCCTGCGTGCGGATCGATTTAAGGTCGTTGCTGATGGCGGCCACCTGGCTTAGGTCGAGGTTCTCCAAGCTGGGCATCAAGGAGCCGGAGCTGGACGAGTAGCTGCGGCGCACGGACAGCGAGGAGGAGACCGGCGCGGAGTAGCTGGAGTACGCGGAGCGCGCGGTGCTGTAGCCGCTGCGCACGCTGGAGATGTGCACCCGGGGCGTCTCCACGTAACGCCGCTTGTAGGAGGTCGAATAGTACGGCTCGTAGCTGAAGGAACTCATGGTGGCGGCCGGTGCCCCTCCGGCCTGCGGCGGAGGTGGTGGCCTAGAGAGAAGGAAGGACGGGGAAGAGAGGGAGAGGGGAGGATGGATGGCTGTGTGCGGCTCGGCGCCGTCCTGCCACCCCTATTTATACGCAGGAGGATTCTGACGCAGCCTGCGATCGATCACGGCGCGCCGGCCAGTGGGGGCAGCGCGCCGCAGCCAGGGGCGGATTCTGCGCAAAAGGGAAGGCGGGGGCGAGCGATAGGCGCTTAGGGAGCTGCGGCTCTTGTCCTCCCAGCTTTTAGCGGAAGGCCTCTGTTTTCTAGGGGACCCCACACCCCCTACTCATTTGCTTTCCCTTCCATTCCCACCCACCCAGCCCCACCTGCTTCATTATGCCCGCAGCCGGTGTCACTGATCCTTAAGTGTCGCCATAACAGATTCTCACTCTCCACTGACGCCTCAGCTTTTCATACCTGGAACCTCGAATACACCCTGACCTCCAGGTCGACCCTTCCCCACCCGGGACTCGGGGTACCCCCACCCCATTTGTGTTTCTGGTGGCGGTGCAGTACTGCTAGGTCGTTTGAGATATAATAGTCCAAGGATGCAGGTATCGAGAAGTTTTACCTTTTTTTCTTTCTGGCTGTTCTGGTAATTTCTTTAATTCTCCCTTTCTCCTGGCTGTTTTGCTTTTGCTTTTCAATACTAGGAAGATATGCCCCATCACACACACGCACGCGCGCGTACACACTCACACGCACATGCACACACACACCCTAGAACTGCAGGTGATCTCTTTAGCATTTCTAAAGCTTTAAGAGCAGTTAATCCACCTGTCAGTGTTTCCAGATTTTCTCCTTTCTTTGTTGGGGATGACCTCAGGGCTGTTAGCCTACGGAGTGTAGGGTATGAGTTTGGAACCAGCCAGGCGAAGGCCTCTCGCTGGGCTGCCGCTGTGCGCTCTGGGCAGCCGAGAACTTCAGGCTGCCTTGTCTTCCAAAAGCTAAATTCCTGCTGGACACCACCACCGTCTCCTCTACCACACTAAAAGCTTCCAGCTTGCTTTGTGCACGTGTTTGGCTCCCAACCTGGTGATTTCCACGAGCCATGCGGTGGGGCAGGGGCGGGTGCTGATTTTCAGAGAGAATTTGCTGCGGCGAGCACCGGGTGTGGCCTCGGAGGGGGGGGGGACTCGGCACCGCCACCAGCACCGAGACTCCACTTTGGGGCGTACAGGAAGCAGTCGCCTGGCTCCTCCCCAGTTCACTACGATAAGTAGGTAACACAAGCAGTGGGGATGCGTGGGTTCCTTAGGACGCGCCCTGGTACTGGGGAGAGCGGGCTGCGACGCACAGGGTACAGCAGCCCCGCGGCCTTTGGGCGCTTTCACTCCAATGGAGTTAGCGGCGCCTCGGGTTTCCTGAGGAGTGGGTGGTGCGCAGGTCCACAGAAGGTAATCAAGATCTTTCTAGCCAAGCACTTAGGTGCTTTCTGTTTTACTTGTAGAACACAGCATTTGACATGAACTTACTTCTTTTTTAAAGGTGCGCTAAGAGGAAACCGAACGCTTTCAACAGAGAGGCTGGAGTTGCTTTGCCGGTGACCCTCAGAGATGAAGTATATATAGCCGAGGAGGAGAAAAGGGTGGGGTGAGGTTTATGCCCCTTCACTCCTTTCAGACCTGAAAATGACCTCGTGATTCCAGCACCCCACCCTTCTCAAGGCAGAGGGAAGGACTGCAGCAGAGAACTTCTATGAGATTTCTAATCCTGCTAGTTTCAAATAGCACAAATTCAGAAACATTAGTGTGAATGTTTTAATCCACCAGGGCTGTTTGGTCTCAGAGTTCTCTCCCTGCTCACATATTCTAGGATGTCCAGCCTAAAGTCTGGAGGCTGCGCAAAACGCTGGCCCTGGCAGACCGGGCAAGATATTTGCTAGGATGACTTTGTAACCTGCATTACGCTTGCTCTCGCATTCATCAGCAGAGAGAGATGAGGGTTAGGAAGAGACCCCAACAAACTCACCTGTTTTTCTGCCCTCAGGTACCCAGGTGCAGATGAAAAGTGGAGGAATGGATTTATTTTTAATCTGCTCCACATAAACCACATTCTTTCACACTCAGTGTGCATGGATCTGTGTGTGCCACGCTCCTGGGGACTTGTGATTTCCTTTCCTTTGTGCCAGCTCCCTTCCCGCGGAGTTTCAGGTTATCCCAAGGGTTTTAAGGCCCTCAGCATTTTTAGATTTATTTATTTTTGCCGTGGCTCCTTGCCGAAGCCTTTGACTGCAGAGAAGGCTGCCTGAGAGGGAGTGGGGCGGCGGCTGCACTGCAGGGCCAGTGAGAGGCTGCAGAGAAGCCGGTGGAGCACCCGCTGCCACTCTTTGTGTGCAGGAAGAACAAGGAGGTGCACAGGCATGGTGAAGGGTGAGAACGGGAGAGCACAGGGGCCCTTTCCTTGGCTGACCCTTGCCCAGGGTGTGGTCGCCCTGCCTTGGGTTTGCCTGCCCGGTGCCTGCTCCTTTTTTAGTATTCTGTCCAGTCATCCTCCTTTTTAATCCTCTTCCCAGAATCCTGCTTGGAAAGTCCACGGCCATGCACTCTGTGTGACAAAGCAATGGTGAGATGAGCAACTTTAGAAAATCTGGTTTGCAAGAAAAACTTGACTGGGCTGGGGATATAGCCTAGCAGCACACACCTGCCTGGCAAGCATGAGGTCCTGAGTTCCATTCCTGCACCAAAAAAAGAAAGAAAAACTTGATTGTTCCTTCCCCTCACCAGAAACATTTCTAAATCAATGTTGCATGTAATGTTGTCTTCACCTCTTTAGAAGGAAGCTCTTGAGTCTCATTATGTACTTGTCCACTTATTCCTTTAAGCATATCCTGCACAGACATGAAAGTGGTTGAGGCTTACCCACACACACTCTCAGGTATCAAGATTATTTTAAAAATAAATGTAGAAATCTGTTAGTGCAATGGCAAGCAGAAACACTGAAATAACACCCAGGATTTGGAGGCAGATTTATTTATGTTATGAGCACTGATCGAGATCATTCCCACAGTATTAAGCCCTGATCTCTGGTGGGCTAGGGCTTATATGAGATAAGCAAGCAGGAAGTACAGAGGCAGAATGGCTTGTCAGTTGGGGAGTAATTTATACAGTGTGCATTGTAGTGACCAGCTATGCATCAGTGACCAGCCATTTCTAAGAGACAGGAGCAACCGGATCTGGAACGGGGGCTGTTTTCTGGACTACTACACAAACGGAAGTACAACGGCTGGTGGAGGTGGGGGTGCATTTTCTGCTACATTGGTGCCACTCAGTAGTATCTCTACTGATCTGGTTTTTTCTTAATACCTCTATAATCCTCTAAAAACTGTTTCAGGTCATTTGTTGATAAGCAAAAGAGATATACATTACCATAAAGGTCATAACTTTTAACTGTGTTAGAACCACTGGAAATATTTCACTTCCTCTCCACTGCTAAGAGAGTTCAAGAGCTTCAGATGGCTAGGACTCAGTGACTGATGGCTTTTCCACTCATCATTCTGAACCCCAGTGTTGCAAAAAGTTCTGTATTAACATTTGCTTTGAAAGGTGCTGCTTTAGGCTGAGGTTCTGGCAGGACAAAAGCTTCAGAGTGGGGGTCAGGAGAGCCAAAGTTCTGTCCTGCAGCAGTGATGTGTAAAACTGGAGCTAGGCCAGAACAGCAGCTGGGTCTGCACACACCTCACCGTAAGGTGTCACCGTCAGTGGCATTGACATGGCATCAGCCATGGAAGGAGGGGTAAAGGGAATAACACATGCAGGCGATTGCTAACTATTGTTTAGTAACAAAATACAGATGAGATGGATATGCAGAGCCAACAGCAGAGGCCAGACAGGTTAAAAATGTGCCACGTCACACAGCTACCTCAAGTCTGGACTCCAGTGGCTCCCAGGTACAGCAGTGCTCTGCTCGGAGCCATTTTCTACCTCCCTGTCTAAGAATTTGAGAATTACATGCTCCTGTAGCAGAAGCTAGCATGCATATAGTATAACAACCCTCTCCTGTTTGGGGGATGCCAATGTGAACTGGTCTAGACCGTGAGGAAACTGGTAGAGAGACTGTTCCATTTGGAGAACTAATGGTGGCCATAACTTTATGATTGATACAACGATCTCGGTATTTTAAAAAAGTTGCTGCCACCAGTACAGTGGACACATTAACTGCTCATGTAACTTTTACAGGGAGGAGGGACTTTCTGGACATAGCTCTCGAAATTGGTTTACAAAGCACCATTTCAGGATTTAATAAACTGAAAGGCAATTTAGGTAATGGAAACTCTTTAAAATAAACCTCATTGTGATTTCTATTTTCTAGTTAAGATATTTTCATTTACCACATCTATAAATGGGTTTTCTTTAATAAAATTTACCATAATGAATAGAAGAAGAAATGCTGGCATTCAACACCTCATTACTGAGTTTGTCATGCTGCTTACAAATTTTTTCAAATATGAATAAAATCTACAGGAAAATACGAATATCTTTCCCCTTTTTTTTCTTGAAATAGCTTTCTTTCTGTGTATCTTATGCTCACCACAGGACTCAGACACAAATCTCTTCCATGTTTTGGGAAACATATTTGAAAGAAAACTTCCCCCATTTTAATATAAAATGTGCCTACATTTACAACCCCACACTTTGAAAGTGATGCATAATAAAGTATGTTACGCAGCTATATAAAGTTGAGAGTGCAGCAGAAGTGAGAATGTCACTTGAATAGATTAAAGATGAAAAAAGCATGTTTATATGCAGAACGCGTGCACTATTAGAAATGACGGGAGCTTACTGCTGTCTGTGCAGAAATGATGGTGTTCAGATCCCTAAATGCTTGCTCCACAGAACGAGCCAAGGTAATGTATTTTCCCCCCAGGGGCCTGCCCCACTGTGCCCTGCCCTCAATCACAGTCACTATCCAGAGGTAGGAAGCTCCGCTGGGGACAGCCATTGCAGGCAGGTCACAGCATGTCTATCAGTCAGAACCAACAGTACCAACTCTGCATCTGCTGCTCCTTCCTGACCGCAAGGAAATACATGCTGCTTCTGCAGTTTGGGTATTGTCCCACCATACAGTGTTCTACGCAGCACCTGGATTCCTTTGCTGACCTTTACAGTGGTTGAATAAATCAGAGGAATGCAAGGTTTAATGTTTGCAGAGACAGAAGATAAGCACTTCCGTCTGCAGGAGATGATGCCCAAGGTTGACTCGTTCACAGCCTCACTGGAGCCCATCCAGGGCAGCAGTTCACGTCCTTGCCAGCCCTTCGCTGCTGCAGGAATGCAGCATTTGCTGCAAATGGGCGGATCCCTGGATTCCTACAACAAAGCTGACAGGCTTCTGAAGCCAGGAAATATAACAGTGGTTGGTAAGTTGAACATTAAGAGACTCTGGATTAGAAAAATGAAACGTGCCTGCATCTAACTGGCTTATTGATTAAATAACTCATATGTTCATTCACCCAGTGAGCCATCAAATGTTGGTGGGACCCTTAAAATGTGCAATAGTCTAAACAAATGTCCCGGGGGGCAGAGAGTCACAGTGCATTCCCAGTCTTTGAAGGGCTAGGAAAGTATCTGGACACAATAAAATGAAACCAGATACTCTTGCCCATTCCATGGGTGAATCTCAAACATGATATGCAGATATGAATGAAGGAAATTTTAAATAAAGGGTACCTGCGTATAATTCTACCTACGTGAAATTTTAGAACAGGGAAATTATGTCGGAAAATAAAGCAAAGGAGTGGTTACTGGTTGGAGGTATTGTTCACTGTTTTGCAAGGTTTAGATTATATGGGGTGTGTGCATTTATCAGGATGCAAGCAATGTACTAGGATTCATGACTTTCACTGAATTTAAATTTCACATCAAAGCAAAAACATGAAAGTAATACATTTATGTTATACAGTTACAAAATCAATATTATAACATGTATATGCATAAGAAATCATTTTAACAGAAGCTCAGCAGACAAAACCCAGGCATGTGAAATTCTAAAGAGCCATGCAACAGTTAAATAATGAAAGGCAAAATTCTATATGAGAAAGAGAAGGATTTGCTATGGTTTTGGAAAAGGGAAGTGACTATGGACTGGAATTGACATTGCTGTGGCTGATGACTGTGATTTTTCAGGATTCATACTTAACCCTCTTGGCTCTGGGTCTCTCTGTGAGACAGATATTCTTATTCTAAAGATGAGTGGATACTGTGTTTCTACTAATCCTTCAAAATATTGAATTAAAATATTTTAGCAGTGTTACATTGTTACTTCATACTGAATCTGTACCAACTTTTTAAGATTTTTTTGAAAGGCATTTATACTCTGAGTGTTTTTAAAAATCTAACATTTATTTTGTAAAACTTGAATCCTTAATATAAATACCTTTAATCCACTGTCCAATCCCATGGAAATAATTTAATTTTAAAACCCTAAAGAAACAGTTTCAACTTTAGGTCAAATAAATGAGAATGCCAATTTTTGACTTAACACTATTAAAAATGTACTTTATATGCTATATCTTACAAACTGCGGTGATCAGTGATCAGAAAGCGATTTGCTCCTAATTGTTTTCTAGGCAGGCTTTCCAGCTGCATTTTCATCTTTAAAAGGACTTAGCCCTCGTCTGCTCTCGTTTTGCCCTCTGTACAGGGATCACCCCTCCTTCTTCCTCCTCCTCCTCTACTAGCTGTAGCCATTGCACACTGCTTCCAAATGAGCAGCAGTTTGAAGGGAGGCAGAAACACTGATTCTCAAAACTAAGCCTCCATTTTTCACTTTATGTTTCCTACTGAATTTCTTCTCCATAAGATCACTGCAGCACATTCGTGTCACAGAGATGATAAAGCAGTATTTCAATGGAAAGTTGAAGCTTTTTGAGCATTCCTGAGTCAGAGCCCGGGCTCGCTGCAGCAGTCCTATGAGGCAGAAGCAGATTCTCTGGGTGTGACAGTCCTCGTATGTATAGCAAAAGAATGGCGAGAGGGCTGGGGAGGAAAAGGGACCCTCCCCAGACCCTGTCTCCTATAAGCAAAGCACAGGGCCATAACCGATATTTCCTCTCATCAAAATCACTGGCAACTTTTCTTTTAAGTGTTACGGTATCAAGATTTCCCTCACAGTCTTGTATGTACCAAGCCTGGACTTTTCCACAATACTTGATGATGCAGTTCCAGAAAGGCCCTGGCCTCCTCTCACTTTCTGATGATACCTGATGCATAATTATTCAAAGTAGAGCTCCATCTCTTTTGTTTCAGCCACTGTTAAAAACCACTGTCAATGGGAGAAATAGATCTTCAGTGGACATGTCCATGCTTTCTACCGAAGACTGAATATGAGATTGATAATGTATTCAAAGAAAGCTTGAGCATAGGATATGAGAGGAAGGAGAATGAACACCCCAGGGTTAAAGTGAATGTCAGAGAATAAGCCAAAATGATAGCAGGGGTGAAAACAAAGTATTCCATGTAGAGTTGAGTTCATCAAGCCTACAGCAAAGGCCATGGTACAAGTTAAACAGAGTATAATCCACATTAATTCCAACCAGTTAATGAGGATGTTCAGGATGGATTAAAATTAGGTGAAAACTTCAAAGCTTGGTTTTGGGGTCTTTTTCCCCAACTGACTTTTGGGCAAAGAAATTCTGGGCATGGACAGAGATTCATTGGAACACCTTGTCCATTCTTACCGACCTCAGGAAGAGGCTGGACGAAGAAGGCCAGGGGGAGAGGAGGTAGATAAAGGAGACACACAATGGCTGACTAGCTATTAAACCTAACAAAGACTCATGAAGATGAGAAAAAGGGGAATTTGCATTTGTTAAGCAAAATACGTGCAATACTATTAATAATAGAGCACTGGTACAAGGTCATTGCCTTTAATAATTTAAGCATCATAAAATCCCAGTGAGTTGGCTATTAAAATTAAACTCTATACAAAAAGCCCATAGAACTCAGCTATATTGTATCTTTTAATCCTGACAGAACCTAGGTGACGTAAGAATTATTTTCATGCCATAATGAAGACAATGGGATCCAGGGAGTTTTAAGAATATTGGTCAAGGTCACAGAGCAGGGTTAGAGTCTGCCTGAAATCACACACTTCCTGCAAGAGTGTTCGTGAGAGGTAGGACAATAAGATCTCTCGGCGTCCTTATTTCTACAAAGTTTAAATTTGTATACTGATGTGTAAGACAGGTAGAATAATCAGAGGGAATAATTATAGCTCAAATCACACACAAGTAAAGTAATTCATAGAATACTCATTTAGGCAGAGCACCAGAGACACAAACCAAATAAGTCAGCACTTAGTTTTATTAGCAGTTTCCATCACTGAAATAATTTATAAAAGCTAAATTGTATCAGAGCATGTCTCTCTACAGACGTAGGCTCCCATCCATCTTGCCAACTAGTATTTTCTTTGATTATTACATTATCCAGAAGAGAAAAAAAACAGCAAAAAAGATTCCCTGCACCTCTGAGTATCACTTTATGCTGCAAATTGAATAAACTATACCACTAAATTGCATTAGTATAACAGATGTGTTTTTGAGTAGGCCTTAGATATTTCAATTTTCAAAATGGTTTTTTTTCTTCTTCTGCCAAAAAAGTTTTTGTCCATTATGCTGATTAATGTTGCCTTTAGAAGTTACCCAAATTAAAATTGTCATCTGTATTAGTTTCCAAAATGAAATTTAGAAACATTACTTAGGGCCCAGAGGTCTGCTCCGTATGAAATGTGCTGCTGGGTGGAGCTGTAGTGAGCAGAGACTCAGTTCCACATCCCAATCTGGAGCTGGCCGAGGGCAAGAAGCTTCAGCCAGGCAGAAGCAACAGCATTTCTGCTTGGCTATGTATATGTATATATATATATATTTTTTTTTTCACTTTAAAGAGGATTAAACCAAAGAAAACAGAGTAAGACCAATCAAAATAAACCAGTATAAGTGATACAGGACTTCAAAACCTTATCAAACCAACAGTAGTTATCATAATGCCTTTGATGTCTTCAAAATAGCTGCAGATAACTTCACACATAGTAAAAATTAGAACAGAATAGAAACAATAAAAACAAAGCAATGAATGCAATAAAGGACTTCAAAAGATGCCAATAGTAAATCCAAAATGGCTAACATGTCTTGCTATCTTTGAAATAGCTGCTCATGCCATCAGATTTAACACAATTAAACAAAACAAAAGAGAATAAAACCCAACCCAACGAAACAATGAAAATGATAGATTTCCAAGAGGGGATCACCTGGTGAGACCTAGTCTCTCCCTCCACAGTCCCTGAATGGCGCTGACTCAGGGAGAGAGGCTGGGATCTGGCTGTCACCACTCGGGCAGCCCCACCCATGCCTGTGAGTCAGCCCAACAGCATTTATGAACGGATTTCGTGCCTCTGAGCTGGCCTTTGCCTCAGATGACTTCTCAGGTACTTAGCCAACCAGATAACTTCTTATTCAAAAGTACTAAACTGGTGTAA